ACACAAAAATTAAGCCCATATATTATTATCAAAGTCAAAATGAATAGAAGGTATGCAATGTTTAATCGATTTATTCTAGTACTTCAAGCTATTCAGGTTTATTACCTTTAATACTTTAGTAGAGCAAGCGATAAACTTGATTGGGTCATTTTATTGAAGAATAAACTAAGAAAAAACTATTGAGGTGCAAACTATTATTGAACCCATTCACTAAGAGCAAGACATGTCAAATTTGTTTATTCAGCTTAATTCATTTGAAGAAGTGTTTATCCTAAAGGATACCACAGAGATTCATGAAGAAATTCCTCAAAATATGGATGATAATGATGATGACATTGATGAAGAAATTTTAAGTTTATCATCTACTGGCTCTTCTAATGAAACAGACTAAAAATGATATGTATGTTTAGATAAGTATTTTCTTTTATTGTTTTAGTGCTTTGCTGTTTTTAGACATAATTACGACATATTTCTTGTTTTTTTTATGTACCTTCATGCTTTTACTTTTGTTTCTTACACTATACTTCTCTTGTTTACTTTTATTGTTTTTAAATGTAGTCATGGCATGTTCCATGTTTTGATTTACATTTTCATGTTTTTACTTTTGTGGCTTATATTATATGCTGCTCTTGCTTTCTTTTTCTGTTACTGTTAATTTTAGTAATTTTTTTTTTCTGTTACAGATGGCATCAAGTGGTTAGCCCCAGAAGCAACCTAGTGTTCAGGGCACTTTAAGGAGATGTACAAGAGGATAAAGAAGGTCGTGAGTTGCTTTGATAGGTTCTAAGCTTATATAGCCACTCCAATTAGTCCTCCTGCCACCCCTCCTGCACCAACTCCCACACCCGCACCAATTTTCCCTTCATCTTCCTCCTCCAATGAGCCGACCATCGACTCATGCCCCTCTGATGGATGAGACATTGGGTAAGGTGTATATTTTGTCTAAGGGAGACTCATAAGTTATCTTCAACATTAGAGTAGGTTCAAAGTTCATCTCGATATTTTTGTAACTAAAATTTCTATTTTAGGTTCTTTCCTTCAAGGCTACCCATGACATGCAACACAAAGATTAGGTATGATCATGTGTATCTCTTCTGTAAATAGATCCTTAAACTGACTCGAGACATTTGGTTCCAGAATTTTGAGGCAGAATCACTTAATTTGAATTTGAATACTAATTTTAAGTTATTGTGTTGTACTAATCAACATTGCTTAATTTTTAATATGAAGATGACTTTCTACTTGTTTTCGAAGCATCACAAACATATCTGTGGCATTTTTAAGGTTCGTAGCAGACATCAGTTGAGTGACATGTTCATCACAGCACCCAGGAATGAGGAGAAACCCATTTGAGTAGGGGAGGATTTTTTGGCTGACTTGACCGAAGTCTAGGCCTCTCCGAATTATCAAGAAAATAGACAAACAACACAACAAAACATTATGATAGAGGGAGTTTAGGGGCGCACTCCACATCGGATATTTGGTTCCCCACTCAGATCACCACTGAGACTGTTAAAATTATGTAATATTCAAAAACTTAATGATTTATGTAATTATATGATACTTACCATTTTCTCATGTACACAGACCAAGCAGCTTGGTTGACAACCCTTCATTGTAGAGTTGTTGTCCTTACGTATTGGCACCCGGACTTGGAACAGTGGGTCTCCAACCACTCTCACTAGGTCACTATAAGTAAAAAAAATAATTTTATCCTTTTTGTGACTATAAATAGTTAAAATGACAAATAATCTTTGATTTAAATTATTTAAGAAGAGTATAAGCAGTTATGGGAGAGGCAGGGGGAGTTGGAAAGCCAGTCCTCGAGATCTGCCATCAGCAGTGGGAGCCA